CTATACATGGTCTTAATATGTTCTCAAGACCCTACATGTCAAGTTTCATGCCATGCCCAAGAAGTTTGCCCAGTCAACTACTTAGACACTTGAGAATCGACTGTATTAGGTCAAAAGTCAACTGTGACCCACATACAGTCAAAATTCAATATTTTTGGTCAACATCAACATTTTGAATTGACTTTCATCATTTGATCAAGGGTTGACCATGATTCCCCAAGGAATTCTCCAAATTCATCAAAACCCAAAAGTTGCTAAATTAGGGTTTCTTAGTAAAAGTCAACCCAACTTTGACCAAGCATAACTTCTTCATACTTTATAAGAAATTTTCCATCCAAGGCTCATTTTTAATAGGATGCAATTCCTTACAATTCATCCTCAGCCCACAAGTTCAAAATATGCACTCATCAAAAGATATGAATTTTTACATTATAGGTCTATTTGAAAAGTCAACAAAAACACCTTTTGGGTCAAAGCTTCATACATGAACATGGAAAATCAAATTGAGATGAAACCTAAAGGGTTGTTTAGGGAAAATCCTAAGCTTTCTAAAAAGTCCAAGAACACCCTCCTAGGGTCAAAATTGAGAGAGTTGTGCATTGTCAAAGTTGGTAATTTTTGGAAAATTATCAAAAGTTAACATTGATCAAATTTGCATTTTTTCCAAAGGGGCCCATGTTTTATTGCTTGAAACATGTTTCTAATAGGACCCAAGACCCCTGAGCTTTTCCACCCATTATTTTATTACTTTTATCATTTATTTTGATTTTTTTCATTTAAACCAAAATAAATTTAATTAAATGGTAAAATAATGAAAACAAATCAAATCTTGGGAGTTTTGTGCACATTTGGAGTCCATGTACAACTAGCATGATGATCAATTCGTGCAAGACTCATTAGGGTTGGAAAAGATTGGATTGAAGCTTGTTTTAGAAAGATATCATACATGAATCAAATCAAATCACATTTTCATAATTCTCAAAGATATGATACAATTTTATTGACCTAATTCAGTCTACTATATGTATTTAACAATTACAGATCAAGAGAAAAAGGTTAGCAGTCGTGAAAACACAAAACAAAGTTCTAAAAAAGTGACAAAAAGTGTTGGATCGTTTTTGCATTTAGAGATCAATTCAGACCATTCCAACGCTGCTAATCACTTCCTGGCCATCTCCTGAAGCCAACAACATCATTTGCAGCCTTCAAAACGTCAAGAATCATCTCCTAGACACATCACAGTTTGCCTCCCAAACTCAAATTCTATTTCTATGTTTTACGCATGATAAATCTATTATATCCATATATTCTTGTTCATAATCGTGTTCGCAAGCTTTCTGTATCACTTAATTGTACTAACAGTACAAGAATCCATATTCACCATTGTTAGGGTTTAAGATCACGATTTGGGGATTTCTGATACAGGAAGAATTGGGCCATGAATGAGGTACCATGATACTCGTGAGACCAAGACGAGTTGATTGGTACCATCACAACTAATTTATCATGCCCGTATGAGATTTTTGAATTTTGCAGGGGCTATAGTTACAGCAAACGTCCGTAGGTATAATTCTTTAACCTAAGACGACGGTTGCAGTGAAAAAGATGATGCGTGGCAGCCCATGACCGACTAATTTGAATTTCGCGTGTTTCTTTGGTCATCATGCGCTTTTTGTATTATATTATATTTCATTTATATATATTAACAAAAGAACAAGTAGCATAGATGGTTGAGAGACGCGCCTTTGATGCACACGTCCTGGGTTCGATCCCAGGCGTGTGCATTTTGTTATTTTCCTATTTATTTCAGGCAAATCTAATGATCCACTCCCTCACACGCCTTCCATGCAACCTCAACGCCCATCCATTGGATGCACCTCTAGCCAGATCGAACGCTTCCTGCCTGAAGATCCTTGGTGCACCCCAAGTCAACGCCTGCATAAAATCCAGCGTGGTTGACTAGGCTTGGAGCTTAATGGGCTTGGAAATTCAGATTCTCACCCCCCAGAATTGCTAACAACACAGACCCATATTCTTTTTTCTCAATTTATTTCTTTTATTTTAATTGTTTTGTTTAATTATTTTTTTCACTAAATTAATTACTTATTTTATCATAAAATCAACCAATCACAAAAGCACAAAAAATACATTTTTTTAATAATGATAAATTATTTAATTTAATTAATAAGTTAGGTAAATATAATTTTTTGTTTCATTTAAAATCAAATAGAACCTAGGTTTTAATTTTACAATTTATTTTTTCTTTTCTCAAATAAAAAAACCAAAAAACATACAAAAATCTTTTTTGTACAAAATATTTTATTTTTCTTGAAATTATTTAATTAAAAAATTAGGTTAATTTAATTCCTTTCATAATTTAAAAACAATTAGAAATTAGGTTTAATTAATTTGCAATTAAACATTTTCTCAAATAAAATCCAAAAAAAAAAAATCTTTTCTCTCAATTAGGGTTTTAGATTATTTCAGTCGTCCTCGCATTTAATTTGTTGCGTGCGTGGTAATTATTTGTCCATTATTTTGTAACTGTTCAGGGTTTGTAATTGTTAACCTAGGGTTTTTATTTACTGTTTAAATCCCCGATTTGTGGCTATGTAATTAATCCCCCTCCCCGAAGCCTTGTAATAGCTAGGTTTATTTTATCGCATTTTTAATTCCCGCAAATATTTAATTGTCTAGATGTTTGCTAATAGGATTGTATGAAAAGAATGCTTGAAATTTAAAACGGTAGATCACCTAATGTGCAAAGACTAAATAACTGAAAAAGTTTACATGCACTTGTTCACTCCTAGGGTTTGCCTCACTCCGGTTGCCTTCGGTAAATAGTCATTAAGAATAAGAGATTTTAGTGGTCGCCCTCCAGTCTAAAAGATCAAAAGGTTGCCTCGGAAATGTTGCCTCGGAAAGATCTTAAGACTCTAGGGTTACTACTAAAGTTTTCTAACTATTGCTTTAGTGATTGTACTCGTCCCTTTCGAATGTCCCTTACAATTCTAACGACGGTGCTACCTACTCCTTAATAGTAGGATAGCTCTGTCTAAAGGAAATGAGAACAAACGATCTTTTTCAAGTTAGTAGAATCTTAAGTACTTGCTCAATGAAAACTATTCGCACAAACACCTTTCAAAACAAATTTTCAAAACAAACTTCGTCACATCCTTGAGGACTGATACAAGGGTTATCACGAAGTAAAACATTTTCAAGACAAACACACACAAGAAATTTTAAAAATGAGCAAGTAACTAAGAGCCCGTAGATAACTACGGATAGAAAGAGTGCTAACACCTTACCTTTCTATAAACTACCCCTGTACTCAGATTATCTCGAAAAAAAGTTTTTTCTGTTCTTTTTCTTTTTCCATGATTGGATGAAATAAAAGTCGGTGGCGACTCTTGCTTACCGCACATTTGTGAATATAAAAAGCAAACCAATATTAAACAGTCGGTTCTGCCACCGTATCACACCGAGTTTCCAATAACGTTCGTATAGAAGACTTATTTTAATAATCACTTCCGCTCAAACTCTTCGAAAAGTAATTTTTCAAAACCAGAATTTTCTGGAATTTTAATTGGATATCTATTCACCCCCCTCTAGATACGTAACAGTCGTCTAACAACAAACTAAGTGGAAAATTAAGAGGGTACACTTTCGGCTTAGGAAGACATTCTAAGCAAGAGAAGCATTTATAAGGGATGCACACTCTTTGAGAGGATAATCAATACTAACAAGAGTTGATCAAAACAACAAGAATGCAAATAAACATGAATATAAGTTCGACTATGCATGATGTATGTAAAAATGAGTATTTATGTATGTTATAAAGCGTATGCTAACAAATTAGACACACAAATTATACTGGGGGTGACCATGCAACACTAGAGTACAACCGAGCATTAGGCTAAAACACTGCAATGGAGATCTGGTTCGGGAGTAAAAGCTACCAACGGAGGAACTAAAGTCCTACTACAAGGCTTAACTCTTTCGGGGAGTTGAAGATGTTATTCGAGAAAAATTTAGAACATGTATTTTCAGGGAATACCCAGATGGCGCAGAAAAAACTCTTAGAAGAAACAAGATGAGTATACTGGTTACAACGACACCATAATCCTCAATCTCTTAGAAGGTTCAAAAATCATTTGCTGAAGTTACTATTGGTTACAACGACACTACAATCCTCAATCTCTTACTCAACATCTACAATGAAAAAAGAATTTACAAAACATGTGAAAGAATTTACAAAACATAAATTACAGTCTAATAATTTTAGAAAAGTTTTTTATTATAAATAATGGAATGTATGGATGAAAAAATAAACCATACCACTCTTTAATAGTTCACATATGGCAAATGGAAATCAAAATTAATCATAATAGTCTCATTATAATAAAAAAGGGTTTTTGTGACAGTTTTGTATGAGTGTTGTGGCGGTTCTAATTATCTCTAATATTAGGTTGCAACAATTTGACAACAATTACAAATCTGTGTGTCATAAGCCTATTCTAAAACACTTTGAAAAATCTTTGCCCCAATCTCATTAATATATAGTGACGGGTGTAGAACAACCTCCATAGTATAATGGTGACGATTGTAACAATCATCTTCTTTTAAGTGACATTTTGTTTATGAAGGTTTATTTCAATAATTACAAATTGTCTCATGATATTATTACAGTTCAAATTGTTGTTATTGTTTTTTGAAAAAAAATTATCTATCTTTATTGACGGTATAAGAAGATATTAAACATTAATTTTTTTATATTTTTTCAACAATTTTAATGTTAACAAAAAAATCTTGATTTATTTATGTAATGTTAACAAAAAAAAAATAGTAGTTAAGAGGAGCACACAAACATTCTTAATTTATTTATTCTTAGTAGAAAGGTGGAGTTATAATTATAGTTACAAGAGAGAGAGTCGTTTTATTATTTGCTTACTATGAGCTATAGAACTTTAGAGCATACATACATAACATTTGATCACTCATTAAAAAGAACCTAAAATTGAGTAAAGATGGTCCTTTATTTCTTGGTTTCCTCTTTCTCTTTCTTGAGGTTGAGCATTTGTAAAGTGAGATTGTTTCTGATTCTCTAGTAGCATATCTACCTCTTGAGTTGATCCAGGGAATGCAAGCTCTTTCACTGGTTTATGTATCTGACTTATCACATTGTCTTCCTCACCTTTAAATTTTCAATCACGGAAAAATAAACACATCTTAATTATTTTTTCTCTTTGATTTAAATAAAATAAGGTGACTTAAAACACTGACTTTAAATTCATATATTATACCTGCAAGGAAGTATCTCTGATTGTTCTCAGCATTGATGTCAAATCCCACCAAATTGAGATTTGATGATGCTTTTATGGCAACTGGATGACCCGCTGGAATTACTAAAACATCACCTAGAGACAACTTAGCTTTGTAATTTTGCACTTGTTTCCTTATCTCTTCTTCTCCTTATTCCTTTTTCTCGTCATATTCTTCTCTCAGACCCTGTTGGTTCTCATTTCTTTGACCCACAAGTTCAAAATCCCCTTTTCCTTCATTGATTGTTACTCCCTAAGATTAAAATTTAGAGAATAAACAAATATACATTTTAGCAATATGTTCTATAATTAAAACATGCTATCTGATATATAAAATTTATTATCAATGAGTTATTAATAAAAGTTTGACATTATAACTTCAATGGACAAAATTCAAATCCTTTTGAACAATTGTAATTTGATCTAGTTTAATTTTAATTAAGAATACATTTATATAGAACTTGTTGTGGAGTTTATTTGTTTATGTTATAAGATAATTTTGATATACCTCATTAATTTCCACATAATTGACAAATATATTCAAGTCTTGAAGTTGTGGATTTTTCTTTGGGGTGATCTCAAAAAATTTACCAAACTTGTTGGAATAGATGGGCTCGACTTCTCAAATTGAATGGTTCAGATTCAGAAGATGCACTCTTTTTGGAGCTAGACTTTGCATTTTTGTTCAATTCCTCAAAATATCTTCCAGACACAGCAGGGGAAGCAACATGTTAACTCTGCTAAAGATCATCGTTTCTATAAACTCTACTTAGAAAAGCACATCATGCAAACTCTGCCAAGAATAATCGTCACGTAACCTCTGCTAATGAACATATCATTCTGAAATGGTCATAAGACTTTGTGAGAAAAAGACCATAGCAAAAGAAAATTTATGGAGAAAACCCGAATATGTGCTCAACAATCTTCAACGGAAACCATAGGAATCTTTATAATATTTACAAGATATGTCGCTCAACTATCCACAAGATGTTATAAAGTATAATATTTTATAAACTCATTTTATACCGATTGTTTCATAGTGTATAGATAATGATAATGTTGGCTAAAATAAGGACAAATTATGTCTTCATAGATCCTAGTTAATACTACTAAGACGAGGATACTAATGATGTTCTAGTTCGTCCACGTGCTGGTGAGTTAGATAGACTACTATAATTCACTTTTAGTTTATTATCTAATTTTTTGTATTAAATACCATGCATTAAATTTTAGTTTAGTAGTTTTTTGTTGTCATTTTTAGTCAAGTCTTCAATGATATTAATAGAATATTTTTAAATTCTTGAATCTATTATATAAAAATAAAAATTTGTATTCCTTCGTCTCATATAGATTAAAAAAATATGATAAATGAAATAGAAAATATTATTTTTACCAAATTATTCTTGTTTACTATTAGTTATTTAAATAATCATAAATACAAAGTGAGAGATTAATAAATTGAGACTATTAATATAATTGAAAGATAAAACTAAAACCGACAATTATTTTAAAAATAATAATTTTATTAAATGCGACAATTATTTTATAATGGAGAAAGTATTGTTTATCACAAAAATGAAGCCTTATGTTGAAGTGGATTAACAATAACTTGTTCCAATTTTATAGACCTCACTTTCTCTTTCATTTAAAAAATAATAATATTAGCTTTTAGCCCATGGATAAGTACATGGGAAGTATTTCAATTTCATTCGGGTTCTTGCTCAATGGAAGAGTACATAAGACGTCTTAGTTACGATACATGGTATATTAACATGGTGAAGCCTATACACAACTTATTCGAAGTTTTATTTACTGTTATAATTGCACTGCTTTTAACTTCTTACTATACTAGGTTTTGTGTTGATTTAGACAAATGGTTATGCACAAGAACTCAAAGTGTATTTTTATATTACAAGTGTTCATAATTGCTTGCCTTGTGCTCAAAGTGCATGATGGTCTTAACATAACTCTAATAGTAGATGCTTTTGAAGCATCAGAATGGTGAACATTAGATCCTATCCTTAGAATTTTTTGAGATGAGGATAAATATGTTTCTTGTAATTGATTAATATTATTAGTTTAGGCCTAACATTGGTTAATGATATTAAAAAATTGTTTTTTTTATTATCTTAATGATTAATGGATTAGTTATTGAAGATATATAAATATAAAATTGGAATTTAAGTTGTGTTTTTTTTTTTTTAGTAATAAAGTATAAGTTTAAATGCTTTTTTTATAATACATATCCTAATTGGTTTTGATTAGAAAATTAAAAAAATTCATTGAGTCTAATTTAACTTGAGATTTACCATGATATCTTTGTGGCGATATTGTAGCTACATAGTTCGGAAACATAAATACAAGACATATTATTTGCTACGATTTAGTTCAGATTTAACTTTGAATTGTAAAAAATGAGTTTGAATTTTGCTAGGACAATTTAGTCTAGATGTTTAGCCACCCAATCCAAGGTACAACATATGTAATACTTAATTCACAACTAATCTCCACCTAACTCTGTCATAGCTAATCATAGATTTTCTTGTAGTGTTTGGGTCCATTATATCTCTAATGTTTTATTAGTAGAAGGATTAGCTCATAACCTGCTGTCTATAAGTCAATTAAATGACAATGGTTATGATATTATCTTCAATTAAAACTCATGTAGAGCTGTGAGTCAAAAAGATGGATCAATCCTCTTTTTTTGGAAAGAGAAAGAACAACATATACAAAATTGATTTATTAGATCTTAAATCTCAGAATGTTAAATGCCTTTTGTCTGTTTGCAATGAGCAATGGGTATGGCACAGAAGATTGGGACATGTCTGTCTAAGAAAAATATCTCAACTAAATAAATTAAATTTAGTCAGAGGACTTCCCAATCTGAAGTACAACTCAGAAGCTCTGTGCGAAGCATGTCAAAAAGGAAAATTTTCAAAACCTTCCTTTAAATCCTAAAATGTTGTCTCTTCCTCTAAGCCATTAGAATTACTTCATATTGATCTGTTTGGGCCAGTTAAAACTGCATCCATCAGAGGCAAGAAGTATGGATTGGTCATTGTTGATGACTTCAGCAGATGAACGTGGGTAAAGTTTTTAAAACACAAGGATGAGTCACATTATGTGTTCGTTGACTTCTATAACCAAGTGCAAAACGAAAAAGATTTTAAAATTATAAAAGTCAGAAGTGATCATAGTGGTGAATTTGAAAATCATTATTTTGAAAAATATTTTAAAGAAAATGGTATTGTTCACAATTTTTCTTGTCCTAGAACTCCCCAACAAAATGGAGTTGTAGAACGAAAGAATAGAACATTACCAGTAATGGCCAGAACAATGATCAATGAAACTAATATGGCAAAGCACTTTTGGGCAGAAGCTGTGAAGACATCATGTTACATTCAGAATAGAATCTCTATAAGATCTATTCTTGAAAAGACTCCCTCTGAACAAGTTTAATTCTAAAGCACAAAAGTGTTTTCTGTTTGGATATTCTGAACGCTCAAAAGGCTATAGAGTATACAACACAGAAACTCTGATTGTTGAAGAATCAATCAAAGTCAGGTTTGATGATAAGCTTGGCCAGCAACAGCCAAAGCAAATTGATTTTTCTGTAGGTACAGAAGATCATCCCTCAAACTCTGAAACTTCAGAAGCAAAGGAAGACTCAGAAGAAAAGGAAGACTCAAAAGATCATCCTCTTGACAATGCTTTGGACAACCTCAGAATCTCTGATCAACCCACTCACAAAAAGTTTCCTAGAATCCCATCAGAACAAGATCCTCTCTCAGAATTAATGAAGAATCATTGTTTGGTTTGGTTTCTCTGATTGAGCCAACTTCTATTGATTAAGCTCTGGAAGATAATGATTGGATCTTAGCAATGCAAGAAGAACTCAATCAATTCTCCAGAAATGATGTATGGGATCTAGTTCCAAGACCCAAAGGATTCAACATTATAGGAACCAAATGGGTTTTCAGAAACAAACTGAGCGAGCAAGGAGAGGTGATCAGAAACAAAGCATGACTGGTTGCACAGGGTTATAGTCAACAAGAAGGAATTGATTATAATGAAACCTTTGCCCCAGTCGCCAGGTTAGAGTCTATTAGATTATTAATTTCTTTTGTTGTGCAAAATAACATTTCATTATATCAAATGGGTGTTAAAAGTGCATTTTTAAATGGCTATATTGAAGAAGAAGTTTATGTCCATCAACCTCCTGGATTTAATGATTCAAAACATCCAGAACATGTTTTTAAATTAAAAAAGTCTTTGTACGGTTTAAAACGAGCTCTCAGAGCTTGGTATGATCGTCTGAGTAATTTTCTTTTAGAAAAAGATTTTACCAGAGGGAAAGTGGACACAACTCTCTTCAGAAAGACATTTAAAAATGATATTTTAATTTGTCAAATTTATGTTGATGATATAATCGTTGGAAACTCTAATATCTCCCTTGGAAAAGAATTTGTTGAGACCATGCAGGCAGAATTTGAAATGAGCATGATGGGAGAATTGAAGTTCTTTCTGAGAATTCAAATCAACCAGACTCCAGAAGGTACTTACATACATCAGACGAAGTATGTTAAAGAACTTCTGAAGAAATTTCAGATGTCAGAAAGCAAAGATGCCAAGACACCTATGCATCCAACCTGCATTCTGGGAAAAGATGAGGTAAGTATGAAGGTAGATCAGAAGCTCTATAGAGGTATGATTGGATCCTTTCTCTATCTGACTGCATCTAGACCTGATATACTATTCAGCATGTGTTTATGTGCTAGATTCCAATCAGATCCTAGAGAATCTCACTTAACTGTTGTTAAGAGCATTCTTAGGTATCTGAAAGGTACTACTAATCTGGGTTTGTGTTACAGAAGATCACAAGATTACAGACTAGTAGGTTATTGTGATGCTGACTTTGCTAGAGATAGAATTGAAAGAAAGAGAACCTCTGGAAGCTGCCAGTTCCTGGGTGACAATCTTATCTCGTGGTACAGCAAGAAGCAAGCAACAATTGCACTTTCAACCACAGAAGCTGAATATATATCTGCTGCTGGATGTAGTTCTCAGATGATTTGGATGAAAAGTCAGCTAGAAGATTTTAATCTTTATGAAAGTAAGATTCTTATCTTCTGTGACAATACTTCTGCTATTTGTCTTTCTAAAAATCCAATTTTACATTCTAAAGCTAAACATATTGAAATTAAATATCATTTTATAAGGGACTATATTCAGAAGGGAATTCTAAATTTAATTTTTGTAAAAACAGACCATCAATGGGATGATATTTTTATCAAACCCCTTTCAGAAGATAGATTTAATTTCATTTTGAAAAATATTTGTATGGAATTATGTCCTGAATAAAATAATATTTATATTCTGTGTTTGACTTTAGAATGTTCTGAAATGAATGTTCCGAGTAACAACTCTTCATAAGTTAGAAGAGAAGTTACATCAGAAGCTATATGAAAAGTTCTGAAATGTTATAACGTTTCATTTCTAAGTATAGTTCAGAAATTCTTTAGAACAAACAGCTGTCCCATGTAACCTTCAGGAGATGAACACGTGGTGTGTTTCTGAAAGATCACGCGTGCAAAAGCTACTGACGCCGGTCTAGGTAACTGTTATGATTAGCTAATCTCACGTTTTCCCCTAATTTTTTGCAAAATCATTAAATGACTGTAATGATGAGATTCATTTTAAATTCTTTAAATTTTTTTTACAGTTTTATTTCTAAACCTATTTCTGAAACTTTTTCATATAAATACTTTTGGAAAACCCCTTTTTCATTTTTTACCGTCTCCTTCAAAACTCAAACATTTCTGTACTTTTTCTCT